GTGATTTTCACGTTATGATTAAAAAACTTTTCTTTGTTCCCAAAATCTCAAATATCATTAGTGTATTCCCTACAACCTCCTAAATACATTTCAAATATTTGTTATCAGTAAAACTTTATGTTTTATCTGTTATTTTCTCTACCCTAACTCTATACAGGGTCTGTCAATTTGACCAACCTCATAACCACCATAAAAAATTAGGAAAAATAAATAAATTATGCTTTTTTGTTCTAGAATGACTGCAAATTATAACAGGAAAACACAAATGTTTAGTCTAAATAACTTAAATCTCATAAATTATACAATTATATATATTTATTATTTTTATTATATTGACCTTTTCAGCCGTACCTGGCTAACATTACAGAAGTTGTAATGATGTGGTGCACATGCACTCATGTTACCTTATCCAAGAATATAAAACTGGCCTTTACAAAGTGACCTGTCTTAGCTGTGTTTTAGTGGACTAGTATTTTGTAAAATACAGTCACATTTCAGTTATAATACATTATATATATGTATATACATTATTACTGTTTACAAATAAGTTCTTAAACTTATTTTTCTTAAGACATGGAAAAGTAAATGAAGTGTGGCAAACAATTATCTCTTCTAGTTATGAACTTTGTACTCATTTGGTACTTGCTGTAGGTTGTTAAGCCTTATCATATATCACACGTGAAAGATGTAAAACAAAATAATTTTTTACGTTTTATGAATGTATTTTGAAATAATCAAAAAATCACAAATTGCTATATCAATACCACAGAATTCCACTATAATTTATCAAGCTTAGTAACTAACTGCTTGGAATCTAGCATGAAAAGAATGAGTTTTCTGCACAAATACTTCAAAGAGGCTAAGAAAGCCACCAGAGGGACATTCTGAACTTTCGATTGGTTACACACATCCTTGGGCGAAGTAGGTCTACGTAAGCAAGGATTTTCAAAAATTGAAGAGGTGGGTGGTGCCACCTTGATTGATTCAATAAATATGTTAATAACTCAGAAAATAGAGGAGATTCTTATTTTACATTCTAGCTTGTCAGTATTGGTAATTTGAATATCTAATTCCTAAGAAACTATGGACTTTGTGTTTTGACATCACAAACATAACATGACACACAAAAATCAATATTTAGGTTGTTTTTAAATATTTACTTTTAAATTCAGAAATTAACTAATATATAATACTAAAATTTAAATTATAATCTACAATTTAATACCAAACTAATTGACATACTATTTGAATGTGAGTCAACACATGCGATGACATGGCCTCAGACCCATGACCCATGTTAGTAGGGGTAACCCTGTACTTCCAGTACAGTCTTACTTCTCTCACACAAGATTATCTTGATCTTCTTTCTAACCTCTAAGCATTGCTAAAAAAATTTCTCACTTAGCACATCAGTCTTTATATTCCACTAATTAGAAACACAAACTGTAGATAGAGACAGGCAAACATACAAAATGCTAACTTCTGACATTAATGATTGTCCGAGACATCACTACATTGATGAAACCCACCAGATGAGCTCCTCCTATCATAGATTTAGTGGTTCACATTAAATACATGTTTATAACCAATAGAAATAGTAAAATTCACTGTACCACCCTCCTACATTTGTTTGTTTAGCTTTAGCAGTTACACTTGGTAGTTTGTAACCAAATCTTGACATGTTGATTAAAATCACTGTCCTGGGTAGAAATGGAATTTTTTAACCTTTTTATAGCTTAGTTAGAAAGCCAGAAATTATAGTACTAGTAGTTTTAGGATATTATTCTATTATATCCTTATATATTTTTTGTTCTAAAATGCTTTTTTGAAAGATACATGTATTAGTTTTTGGACAACAAACATGTTGAGAAAAAAGTGGGTTTACTAAACTGGGCACCTGTAGACAAATTGTCTCAGCACTCAAAGTAAATACCCAATTTCTTCTTTGTTTTTCATTATTTATATTTATCTTTTAAGAAAAGTAACTAACCTAATAACTTTCTTAAGGAAGCTTGTGATATATGGTTGTTGTGACATGCTTGTGTACATTAAGCTGGCCTGCTGTGATATATTGAGTTAGAAGCTGTTAGGACAAATTATTATCATTATCTGTTACAGTCTGTAGTCATTCTAGGAGAAAAAGGTTTAAATTACATTTAT